CGACTGCAGCGACCGAAAACGAGCCATCCCAGCCAATGCAGCGCTCTGAGCGGTTCACGTGTTTACGTGCCTCGCGTGTCTCTGCGCCCCCTCGCGTAAGCCACATGACGCTCATACAGCCTTGGATTGATTTCGGGTACAACACGTAGCTGAAGCAAAGTATAGACCTTTTCCGCTTACTCTCGCTCCTGACCGCCGAGTAGGCATATCCGGTATGGGCGACGAAAAAATATTAAAACGTTTCAACCTGCAAATATTAAAAAAATAGAGGGGAGAGAAAACGAGAATGAGTGACTTTGCGGAGACTCTCTGTGCCAGCCCAACTTTCAAAATACCACGATCGTGGGGAGGGCTCGTGAAAAAGCTGCGAGGGAAGTGCTCGAAGTGCATGCTACAAAGAAAGAGGGCACTGAAGGCTCGTCAGCCAGCCTAAATGCATTCTATTAGCGTGGCGACGGCAAAACAATGTTTTCGCCCATACTGGAAGTGACGACAATTCAAGATGGCGGCGCCCTTGAAGAAAGGGTCTATAGCAGTTCCGACTTCGTAACATTTACTGCCGTTTCCTGTTACACACATCGCCGAGGGAGAGCCGCGCACTTCCATCCAGTAATGCTAGCCCCCACTTCCATACACTAGCCTTTAAAAAAAGAAAGTAATAAGGGTGGACAATGTTGTGCGTCTGTTTCGCGCACGGCACAGCAACTTGCGCAAGGAGTTTCGTGCAAGCCGTCTCGCCCCGGACCACGCGCCCTTGTCCCTCGTTAATCCTGTGGGAGTCGAGTCGCTGCTGCTGCTGCAACGAGAGCAGTGTAATACACTCCGTCTCTCCCTGCAACTTGGTAAAACGGCGAAGGCTACGGTTCCAGTCAGCCAATCAGCACGTCGGAGACAGACACGTGACTCTACTCCACCTCGCTACCCCTTTTCTTTTTCACCTGCAACGCATTCACACACACCGACAGTGCTGTCGAATCGACAGATGAGGGAGAGAACGAAGCCGCCTTTGAACGAATGTTTGAGCGACAGGCAAATCTTCACGGGGGACAACAGCTACGTCTAGGACACGGAAACGAGGGTCCGGGTAAAAGGGAGTTCCTCCTTGCCCTCATCTTCAACTGCTTGGGTTACGCTCTCGAGCCTGTAGCTTTGGGAAGGGATGTCACGTGCTTCACCACCGTCGTTCTGATTGGTTGGACGGGGCCGTAGCGCTCGCTCTTTGTCAAGTTACGGTGAAACGAAGTGTACGGGCGCGGCGGCAGCGCGTGCTGTTCGCTGGTTATCGACCCCTTGCCTTTGTCTTGGCTGCGGAGTTCAGGAAAAAAATACGTTTCTTTAGCCGGTTAAAGAAAGAGCGACCGCCGGGGACTATAGAGTTCTTGCACGGGACGATGATGCAATGCTGCTTCGGGCATGATAGCTCTACCGATATTTAAATCGGTGACGTTCGTCTGCTTTCGTGCTGGCTTCTTTTCTATGCGCGGAGGCATTGTTTTTCCGGATCGCTCGACTTCGTTCCCAGTCGTAGTCGACTACAGAAATCAAAGGTAGGTAGGTAGGAACGTTTATTTCACTTTTTTGTATTAAGAAATGTGGACGGGACCATCGGCTGGTTACTCAAAGTTTATACGTACCACTCTTTCTTGGGGGTTTGGACGAACCGCTGCTTGATATGTCGGCTCTAAATGTACTGGATCCTGAGAAAGTATAGCGCCAAGCTTCCCATATGGTCGCCATTTTGGTTCATGGAATGAGCTGCTTCTTTTTGATCTTCTTATTCTCATTGACCCGATACAAATTCGTGGTGACAGCTAGGTTCCTTCATAAAGCCATGCATCGTATTTGCCGAGATTTTCTTTTTATCCAGACACCGGCAAACAATCGCACATCTTCGCACCACCACCACAAGTGGCGTCGGTGCTTGGCGGCATTGAAAAATAACCATTTCGTCGTTTACCCTGAGACTGGTCTTTTTTTTTGAAGAGCAGAAGAACAGAAAAAACAGGCAGGTCTCAACCTGTCTGTTTTTTCTGTTCTTCTGCTCTTCAAAAAAAACCCCAGTCTCAGGGTAAACGACGAAATGGTTGACTTCCACCAGCTAGCCTGTACTTTGACTCTTTTCTCGTTAATTGAAAAATAATTTTTGTAACCTGAAAAACACGAAAAGAGCAGTAAATTATTGCAAGAGATCCGTACACATAAGCTTGACTGAGAAACTAATTTCATACATAGTGCTTACTACTGCCGTCAGACGGGCACGCTAAAGGCCTCCAGAACGAGCTCCTTTAAAGGGCGGCAAACGCCGATAAACGCAAGATCATGCGATAATTTGCCGATGAAGACCTTTAATGTACCCGTCTGACAGCGGCATAAGACGCTTATATTGTACTATTCGAGCGTGATGGAGGATTTTGAGCAAATATAAAGAGGGGACACAGACACACAGGGGATGACGCAGAAGGGGCAAAGGTACGTACGTGCGTCGTCGGCGGTTGGCGGCGTCGGTAGCTTCAACGGAGCCGCTAGACAAAAAAAAAAAAAAAAACGAATCCGAACTCACATGGATAAATACCTTGAGCAAACTATTTAGAATCGCGCGGTTATTTTGCGCCACCTATCGAAATTTTTAGCAGCCTATATTTAAAAAAAAGACGAGTCTGTTAACACACTGCGACGACCACGACTAGACAGCAACCCTACATACAACGCAGGCAACATCAGTACCACGTACTACACAGCACCGAGATGTACACAAACACAACAACCGGCACTACGCCCGACACTTCCTACTCAGTATTCATTTCTTCCCGCGGCGCATATAAGCTTGACGTGTGCGGGTGAGCTCTTTGGTCGCTGACCATTACAGATTTATAGAAGACACAAAACACGGTGCAATGGACAGCTGTGTGTTAGAACTGTTTGCATTTAAAAAGTATGGAGGAAAAGTCTATAATGTTAGTCCGTTGCGACAAATAACAATTAATTAACAATAAATCTTAAACCGGTCATGAAAAGTTCAAATTTTTGTTATTTTCTTGCTTGACCAGTGTTATGAGCAGTCCGACTAGCTTGGATCAGATAGGAAAACAAATTGTTAGGATTTTGTCATTACGTATACAATAATAAATGAAAATGATCCTTGCGCAAACCATTCTTTATATATTAAAGTGAAGGACATCCGCCCAACACTTCACTTCCGCTAGTTGTAGTACGGGAGCAGACGTCTTCACTTTTGGAGCGTTTTGATGCAGTTTGTTGTCGTATGTCGTGTCGGTGTCGAGTTGAACGATGGGGCTTGGGAGTTTGTGACCGGTGTTATTCGTGATCACTGGTGTGGGACGCTGATGCGTTTTTTCTTATACCGCCACCACCCCGAACTTTGAAGATACACGCCCCGTAGCACAGCATTATGCTGAATCGCGAGCTCCTTCTCTGTTGACGTCGCTTTCCTGGTACCACTCGTGGAGACTGCAAGCGTTTAAACAGTGTGCACCGTCTCGCCTACATCCCCGGTTGCGTACTCGACCTGTTGAAACTTATTGCTTCCGTCATTTAGGAGTACGCAAGGCAGTTATTTCGTTGGTCTGGTTTCGGTTATAAAACCAAGGCAAAACGCTCGTAGTTCCCGCGCTCAGTGCACGTTGGATATCTTCCACACTTTGACACCGGATAACTGAATGAACGAGGATTTACATTCACTTCAGAGGTTACTCTCACCGCTTCCTCACCGTTGAGCAGCAGGATGAGCTGGCGACAAGCCGCGGATGAAAGGCTTGAGCATCAACAGCCCAAGCGCACTCGGTGCCGATGCGGGCGACGCTGGTTTCTGTCAACCGGGAGGCCAGCAGAAACCCTGACCGTTCCAGCTTTTCGTCATGACACGGTGTTGCAGAGAGCAGGGTAAAATGCAACTACACCTATCACCGAAGAAAACGCACTGCTATCGTAAATCTTGGCTTATGATTGCGCCTTTGTAGATTATCTTATTCGTTTTGCTGGAGAGACGCAAACGACGGGCATAACAAAATCGCTTGCATATTCCGCATACCTCACAAAAGCATTTACCCCGTCACCTTGCGAAGAGCGCCAAACACGGAGTCCGCACGGTCGCGTTTCGGCGGAAGCCACGAAGGAACGACCAGCACGAAGTTCTGTGCAGAGCCAAAAAGCCCCCGTTTATTCTTTTTCAATCCTTTTATACTGTGTGCCCAGGCAGCATGACGCAGCGATATGCGGGCGCGTAGCCAGCGATATAAGATATCGCTTCATCTTTTTTTTTTTTTCACAAAAGCAAAAAAGAATTTCCAATCAGAACTCAGATTGTACAAAAGAAAACGAAACAACGAAGCAAAAAACGCTGTTGCATAAACTACGCATTTATATAATTCTTCCGGCACATTTTCAAGACTAACACGTATCACTTGAATACACAACCAGAAACATTGTCACTTCACTCAGCAATTTCAAGCATCTGTAACATTTTTTTACCTACTCATCAATACCCAATCTTTTAGGTTTCCGAATTGTTCGCCCATACCGCGTGATGACGACGGGAGAGTCATTGGAATCTCTTGACGTTACAGGCGCGGAAACCAAAGCACTTGATTGAACTGTGTTCGATACCCTCTCGTCCTCCCCTCTGTTCATGATGGCTGGGAAATCGTAGCTTCCTCCGGTTTCTTGTTGTCGCGGCAAAAACCGCAAACTCGTCCTGCTCCGCACTAGGGTAACCCCAGATGGACGTTTGTACCTCGTAGGACCTTGGCCTTTTGGCTGGAGCTACGACCTCCGCGTTCGCCTTCATGTCCGTCACCCATACCCGATCGCCGATGTGAAGAGTCCGCAACGCTTTCGCTCCGTGTCGCTTGTTAAACCCTTGACGCTGCTTATCTCTTGCGCTGTGGTCTTTTGGGATCAACTCCGCTTGAGTCAGGTTTGTTGGAGGCAGTTGTTCGGGTATCATGGGTGGCCTCGTTCTGAGCCGTCGACCCATTAGTATCTCAGCGGGACTCTTTCCAGTTATACCAGGAGTCGACCTGTAAGCCAACAACGCCAGGTTAGCATCAGACGACATTTGCATCAACCTTTTGACTGTTTGGACCATTCGTTCTGCCTCCCCATTGGCCTGTGGGTATCGCGGACTTGTTGTTCGGTGGCAAAAGCCGTACGTTTCGGCGAATTTCCCGAACTCCGACGACACAAACTGCGGTCCGTTATCGGAAATGACCGTTTCCGGGATTCCATGACGCGCAAAAATACGCTTCAAATGCTCGATCACCGCTGCTGTCGTAGTTGATCAAAGAGCTGAAACCTCGGGATATCTGGAGAGATAATCCACCACCACCAAGAAGTTCGCACCTTTTATCTGACAAAGATCGATTCCTAGCTTCTGCCACGGAAAGTCTGGGGTAGACGAAGGCATCATTGGCTCCGAGCTTTTGTTAGCGAATTGAGCACATACTTCACAATTACGGACCGTAATGAAAATCTGCTTGCTCAAGCCTGGCCACCAAACGCACTCTCGAGCACGTGCGCGGCACCTGTTGACGCCTTGGTGGCCTTCGTGTAACCGAGACAACACTTCCGACCGTAGTTTTTGTGGCACAATTATCCGGTTACCGTTTAGCAAAAATCCATTCGCTTCCGTTATCCAAGCTCTGTCCTGCCAGTATGGTTGAAGAAAACAAGGCAGTGACGACTTTCTCGGCCAGCCCTCTCGAGATAGGCGTGTTAAAGAATCACAAACCTCATCCATCCTTTGATATTCTTTTACTTTTCTCAAAAAGTTCTCTCCTCCCTCTAGGCCCATCAAGCAACCTTGCGTATAGCTTGAGATTTCCGCTACTGAAAGAACGCTGTCTGTCTCGGGGAGCGGGGCATGGGACAAAGTATCTGCAGTGGCAATCAGCTTGCCGGGAACGTATACAACTTTAAACCTGTACCGTATGAGTCTCAAGCGAAACCTTTGTATCCGAGGTGGTAAAATGTCAACCGGCGTTTGCCCCAGCAGCGCCACAAGAGGTTTATGATCGGTCTCGAATACTGCGTCAAGCCCTCTTAGGTATTCGTCAAACCGTTCTGCTGCCCACGTTAAGGCCAGAGTCTCTTTCTCAATTTGCGCGTAACGCGTTTCTGCAGGCGTCAGTGACCGAGAAACAAACGCCACCGGCCGGCGTTCACCAGTTGTTTGTTCTTGTAGGAGAACCGCTCCGAGACCAAAAGATGACGCGTCTGCCGACACTATTGTCCGTAAGCTTGAGTTGTACTTGGCCATGCATTCCGCGGAGCAGATCATATCTTTAACGCTAGCAAGCGCCATTTCTTGCGCTGGGCCCCATACCCACACCGTGTTTTTCTGGAGTAACTCCTGTAGCGGAGCTGTTTTTGCTGACAGTCAAATTTAAAAGTCAAATTTGGGGGTTTTACGTGCCATACCTACGACGGGCATCTGGCACGCCCCAGCGGAGGACTGAGGATTAATTTCGACCACCTGGGGATCTTTTGACGTGCAACCGAAAGCTCGGTTACACGGCGCCTTCTCCGCAATAAGCCTCCGTCATATTGCGGGCACCTCGGTCGGGATTCGAACCCGCCACCTGGGAATCCGTAGGCCGGCGCTCTCGCCTCGGAGCCACCGAGGCGGCTGTTTTTGCTGACAGGTGGGGTAGAAAGCGACTTAAGTCATTGGCCATTCCGAGAACCCTTCTGACTTACTTCAGATACATTGGTCGGAGACTTTAAATCTTTGATGGCTCTAACTTTATTTGCGTCGGGCTTTATGCCTTCTCCGCTTATGCTGTAGCCCAAAAACGTGACTTCCCTGACGTTGAACACACACTTCTCTTTGTTCAGCGTAACATTGGACTCCACCAGCCTGTCGAAAACTTTCTTTAGTCTTTCATCGTGCTCCGCCTGATTCTTTCCGTGCACCAAAATGTCGTCCATTAGATTGGCCACACCAGGAAGACCTAAAATTTCCGACATCCGTTTTTGAAAATATTCTGGAGCGGACGTTATTCCAAAGGGCAGCCTTGTGAAACAGTATCTGCCAAATGGCGTGATAAACGTTGTCAGTTCTTGGCATGCTTCCGATAGTTTAATCTGGTGAAAACCCGAGTTTGCATCCAGCTTTGAAAAAACCGATGCGTCACCAAGCAGGCCGAGTGTTTGTTCGACTGTTGGCAGAACATACCGTTCCCGACGGACACTTTTATTTAATTGCGTCAAATCCACGCAAATACGAACCGCGCCTGACGGTTTTAGGACTGGCACAATTCCTGCGCACCATTCTGTGGGTCCTTCCACCTTACGTATTACGCCTAGTTTTTCCATTTTGGCTATTTTGCTTTTTACAGCTTCCATCATAGGAATGGGAACCCTCCGTGCTGTATTAACAGCGAAAGGTGCGGCGTGCGGGGTGAGTTGGATGGTGTATTCCCCTTGAAGCGTACCTAAGCTGTTGAACAGCTGCGGGTACAAAACGTCGTAGCGTTCGTTTTTGCCGATGCTATCTACAAATTTAATGACCCCCAAGGACAAAATTGCCGGTAGGCCTGGCAACACTTCACGCAAAGGGCTCATGACATACACTGTTTGACAAGACACCTTATCTTTCCATTGTATTTCTGTCGTAAATTTTCCCAAGACCGCCAATCGCTTTTCGTTTGCCCCCACCAAAATTTCCTCGAATCGATCCAGCTTAGTCGGGATGCCTGGAAACGTACTATCGTGGACACTGTTAGCTATAACACCGCAGCGGCGGCCGTCCCGTACCCTCAGCGCCTCATAGCAGGCGCAGTCCGAAACTCCGCGCATGCGCCGTGTGGCGGACTCGCTCTTCCCGTTTGCGAGCACACCCTCGCTTTGTCGTCTGCTAGGCGCAGAGCAGGCGATGCCACAGTGCTGCTCGTCTGGTACCCTGGCCCTAGCGAACTGGTCTCAAACTCATTTTAAACCGGCGATTTTGATTGGGGGAGATTGCAGAGTCATTGGGGCATTAACCCTGTCTACGTTTTTTGTTGTTGTTGTTGTTGTTTTTTTTTTGCTCTTTCAGAAACAGGATTTCGCAATGCATCTTTCACAATATGCGCTTGCAAACCAGTATGAGCGCAACAGATGTGATACAGAAATAGACTTATACTTCGTTTCACCTAAAGTCCGAATGCAGTGTACGCAGCAAAACTACATAGCCAATCAAATGGCACAAAGGTGCAATGTCACGGAGTGCATCACCGGGGGACACAATAAGGTGCAAAAAGTGAGCTTTGTCGCTTTTGGTTGGCCCTATCGTCTCGTAACGTCCGCTGCGCTTAGACCTAAAGCGAAACGGAGTATAATTGCAAGTTTGTCCCATAAAAGAAGAAAAACGTAGTCTACCGTGATATTACAATTAGGGGCGATGATTATCCTTAGCCAGCGGAGTCAGGGAATCAACCGTGGACACCTCTTACGCGGTGGTTTGCTGAACCGTGTTCAGGGAAAATTGGCTAGCGCTGTGGCGTCGTCTGCTCTGTGCCTAGCAGACGACAAAGCAAGGGTGTGCTCGCAGGCGGGAAGAGCGAGTCCGCCACACGGCGCATGCGCGGGGTTTCGGACGGCGCCTGCTATGAGGCGCTGGGGGTACGGGACGGCCGCCGCTGCCGTGTTACAGCTAACAGTGTCCACGATAGTACATGGCACAACAGACACTTCGGCACCCGAGTCTACTTTTGCAAAAACAGGAACACCGTTAACGGTTATCAGCACATACCGTGCTTTCGCGGCCGCTGTATCTGCAGGTTGTTTAAACAGATATACAGGTTTTTCTTCAAGGGCAACCTCTCGTACCTTTTTCGGTTTCCCCGCTCCAGTTCTGCAAACCTTGCTGAAATGGCCTCGGTTGCTGCAGTTGAACCACTTGGCTGCTCTCGCTGGACAGGCTGACCGTGGGTGCTGGTTCCCTCCGCAGGACGAACAGGGCCCCTTCCGAGAAGACGCCAGTTTTTCACTTCCTTGACGCCGCGATGTTCCACTGTACCGCCTTACTTCATCGATGTTCACGTCCTCGGATGTTGCCGGCGATTCCTCGGGACGCAGTTCTCGTTGCTGCTGTCGCACTGTCTCTTTCAACCTTGCTTTCGCCAACGCAGAAGCAAGCGTAAGCTGCGAGTCCATCTGAAGCGTTTCCGACAGCTTTCCGTCCCGCATGACGACAACCAGTCGATCACGCAGCATTCGTTGTTTAAAGTCGCCAAAATCACAGCGGTCTGCTAGGGTATGAAGCGCTGTCACGTACTGGTCGATGGTCTCGTCTGGATTCTGCACAGGCCGATGAAAGCAGGCTCTCTCGTAGACGACGTTTCTTTCTTTCACGAAGTGCTCATTAAACTTCTTTTGGACTTTCTCGTAGTCTTTCGAGTCTTCCTCGCTCAGGCCGAAGGTTGCAAAAATGTGTCGTCCCTGCCTTCCTAGGGTATAGAGGAGGGTTCTGACCTGAGCCTCGCCGCTTCTTTCGTTGAGACCGCTTGCGAACCGTTAGTCTTCGAACTCTTGAATCCACACTGGCCATTCTGACGCTTTGTCAAAGTCCAGTTTAGGTGGTGGTTGCAGTCCTAGTCCCCCTTGAGCTGGTACCGGCGTCCCCATGGCTTGCTCTTCGTGCATATTCCTGCTCAGACGCACGCCACTCCTGACACCATGTCGCGTTTCGGCGGAAGCCACGAAGGAACGACCAGCACGAAGTTCTGTGCAGAGCCAAAAAGCCCCCGTTTATTCTTTTTCAATGCTTTTATACTGTCTGCCCAGGCAGCATGACGCAGCGATATGCTGGCGCGTAGCCAGCGATATAAGATATCGCTTCACGCACCGTCCTAAGCTTTCCGTTTTTTACCTGCTTTAGAGCAGTTTGTACCTGTTAGTAGATATGCCTACTGAAACTGAAACAGGGCAGTGCCAGAGAGAAAGAGACAAAGTTGGGAAAGCTTGCTCACTCTCCAATTTCTCAACTCTCAAGCGATTGCACCATAATAAATGCACCAATGCCTCTTCCCAAAATAAAAAAAAGCATTACGTTCACTACGTAAAAAAATGGTCTCAGTACATGCATCTGTGGGCAGGTAGGAAACCTTGTCCTAATTTATTCACGCCGCATGATTGGCGCAACAAACTCGTTGCAGGACCGAATCATCTACTCGAGCGGTGTGCGTCGGTGTGCAAACGCAGACCAACGCGAAGCATAAAAACGGCAGATTTAGGACAAGAATCCGGAGTTCATTATTCTATTAAAACGACGTAATTGTGTTGAAAACGCCCGCTGCTTCTTACTCACGGTATCTGTCGGAATACTTCCACAGTTTGAAACGGAACGAAGGAAGATTTACTTTTAAAAACGCTCGTTGCGTCCTCCCGGACCAGCTGGACCGGACCAGCTGACGACGACGGGACTGATCCCGTTGTACTTCTACCCCGCAACAACCAATTTGCGCTCCGTGTTAGTGTGGGCTTCTACCTCCAAGCGGCACCGCACCACACAAGACGAACGTTTCAGCTCTTTCTCGCATCGCCGTGTTGCACCAAACAGAACGAGATCGCCGAAGTCAACTCTGCGCTGTCGTGAACCTTGGCTTGTGGTTGCGCACTCGTGGCCCCTGTGGCTCCCTTCGCTTTCAAAATACACACGACGATTACGATTGATAATTTCCGTCTTCTGAGAACATAACAGGGGCACTTCTCCGGTCACGTGTTCGCAACATGTGCTAGCAAACCTACGAGCTTCTAGCGTCCGGACAAACCAAAACAATACCGGAGTCAAGCTAAACCTGCGTTGTTGCCAGATTTTTACCGACCAAACAAAAGTAACGAAAGCAAACCGGCTCTAGCTTCCAGCGTACATCGGCGTTGCGCCGTGGCCAGATTTCCTCTGTCAGCTCTAACTTAAAGATGACCTACAGTTGCAGCAACTGGTATACATTTTTCATTCGGCGGCCACCACGGTGCGCCGTAAGTTCTGAGGAGGGTGCATAAGAAGCGGCGGCACCTTCGCTTGCCGTTGAAGGGTTGAAGCCAAAACGAAACCAACTGAAATATCACGTGTTCAGATGAGGGCACGCGTTTTATATCCGTTTTAACTGTTTAGAACGAGTAATTAGGCCCATAACTTTATTTGTGGTATGTAAGAAACTATTATCAAGACCCCTAAAATAAATACAAACATGGGCGACATGAGGGAAGCCGCATTGCAATCGACCAGAATCAATGGCAGGAATGGCAGCGAGCGCGTTAAGCGCGGGGTTCGCCACGTCCCGCGACATAGCGTAATTGCTTTTGGTGCATATCTGACTCCGAGACATGTTTCTTTCCGCGGCATTTGTCTCGACGGTTCTTTCTAGGTGTGTCCCCAAGCATTCCGGTGCGTCGATAGCCGGCAGTGCTGCGGTGGTCGTCGGGGGTGATACGTGTTTTCGAGGTCGGCTACACAGCTATGTGTGTATGACCAAACCAAAAGACGTTTTTTTCAACCTCGCATGATTTTTGAACGAATTATCCGTTACTCAGCGTGTAAATTTACGGTAATTTGAGTAAATTGCGTGTTTTTCACCCTAAATATTCGCTAAATACGCGCTACTTGCTAACAGTGTACGAAGGCACTTCGTTGCGATCTTGGTGCGGCTGGTCTAGAAAGACTCTTATGAAGCTTTTGAAGATTAAAAAAGACCAAAATGGTGATTGCCATGCAACAAAACCAAAAGCCTCGTGAGGTTTCGGTTATCTGTATGTTAGTATCGGAATTGTGTTCGGCTAGCAGGCAGGGAATGAAAGGCCGCTGATCGGGTGACTTTAATCGCCCCCGCAGCATATAAGCGGGCTCCAGAAGGCACCTCTAGGCGGCTCCGAAGAAAGAAAATACCCAAGTAAGCTTCAGTTGAGCGTCCCAAAGACGTTTTAGGTTGACCTTCCGTTCTCTCACCAACAAAGCTGTCTGCCTGCTTCTGCGTTTTCCCGACATCAAAGGCTCCGCTAACGAAGAATCTGTTACGTACAGAAAATAGTGGCGTTGGGTGCAACAGACATACGCTCCGGGAAAGTGAAGGAGAGGAGGAGACTAGAGCGTAGGGGTACGTCAGAACACTGAGCTCTAATTGGAACAATTAGTGGGTGGACCGAAAGCTAGCAGCCTTTGCCTCCACAGTATTCGTCGAACGCCTTAGAAAGCGGAATGCCGGCGTCCGGCGTTTGGCTTTCGCATTCGGACGCGCACGACGAGTGCAGTTGAGACACAGGCTGCTAGCTTTCGGTCTACCCACTAATCGTTCGAATTAAAGCTCGGCGTTCTGACGTACCCGTACGCTCTCGTCTCCTCCTCTCCTTCACTTTCTCGGCGCATAGGCCTCCTCCGTTGCCCAGGGGGCGCTGCGTAAAGCGTCTTGCTTTGGGTAGTACAAACTTACGCGTCTCAAACTGTCTCCGCGGTATGGAAGCGTGCCCGCTCTGGTGCCAAACGTGATCACAAAAAAATATTAAAAAAAAAGGCAAAACAGGACAAACACTACAAAGACACTTAAAACTGCTAACGTGTCGGAATTCGAAAGCATTCGTATACGTAGCGTATTGCTAAAAGCTGCGCGCCGTGCGGCCTCTCCAGGAGTCTGCCCGGGCGGGCTCTGCTGGCTCTGCGGCCGGCCGCTCCCTCTTTCCGGCGGCCAGGCCGCTGCTCCATGGAGAGGGCTTCTCTGTGGGGTGACGTTCTTTGGAACTACGCCGCGCGCCAGCCAATGGGGCTGCAGACTACAGGCAGCTTCACTCCATGGGACAGGGAAATTTAGGTGCCGTTTGGCGCGTCTTCAAAAGATCATTACGCCGGTTCCCTTCATGGGACAGTTAATGCTTTCGTATTAAAATTAAACGCCGTCGTAGCACATGTCAAAGGTAGAGCATGAGCGAAGAGACGCCATTTTACAAGTTCACAAAAAGAGAGATAAAGATAAAAAGGCGTAGCGACGCCAGATATTTTGACTTTATTACCCAGAGATAGGAGAGGCCTACCCTGGTGGTGGTGGCCTGAATCACGCACTTTCGATTGTTTTACGGCATTAAATTCAGACGATTTTGGAATTCGTAAGGTGTTTTTCTCTTCTTCATCACTACAAAGACGGAAAAAAAAAAAAGCTCGGCGAGGGTGCCACAAATAGCGCTAGGCCCAATCAGGTGAGCTTGTGCTACCCAAAATAAGGGCGCCACAGTTTGTTCAAAGCTTCAGTGCAGGAGGCCTAGCTGATATCACTTCTTGACACGCCCCCAAACAGCGTAATCGAAAGCAAAAAAAAAAAAAAAAATGCAACGTTAATAAGTTGCGTTCGGCCCTGAGCTTTAGCTGCTTTCCCTATTCACATGGAAATAAGCGATTCTTCGTTAGGGTCGTTTTTGGTGTTGACCATCCTCATCATCATCATCATTTGTTTATTTCTGTACCTATAAAGAACACGTGTCTGTAATCACAACGTAATTTAATATAAAACTTGCCGAAATAAATAAAATAAACATATACATGTATACATATAGTAAATGTTGATGGTGGTGTTGGTCCCTTCTTTGCGAGGCGCCGCGGACTTCCGATGACTTCGCTGATGTTGTTGACGTAAAGTTGGTTGAAGATGTGAAGTAAATAATTTTATGTGCAGGGAACGGAAATATACAGCAAGTTTTACGAGTCAAGAAGTGAACTTTCAGGATGCACCGCGGAACTTCTCCACGGCTAATCGAGGTGAAGCCTGCACATCTAGCTCTAGATAAGAACGCGGTCGATGGGGCAGCACAATTTTTAAATAGCCCCGCATTCGCGCAGCTCTTTCTTTATAAGAGAAAACGCACAGAGGACAACGTTTGATGTTGACATCATTTTCCATTAGCTTTATTCGTTAAATCTGACATTACCTCGTTTTTGCTCTTTTCATTTATTGATCCTTACGTCAGGTCTCAAGTTCTGCTTTTTTATTTTTTGCCGCACTAACGGGCGATAGCAGGAAAGAGTACCGTGTCCAAATATAAGAAGGACACCCACGCTGGTATGGCGCTAGTATACGGTGGGAACGCTTGGAAAGAAAACTAGATACACCTGAATGTACGGCGTTGCCCACGCCCAACATTACACACCTATATGAAAATTAGTATGCAAGCAGAAGCGAAAATGAACTTCTAACTTTCAAGAAAAGACTCAACTGCGCCATAAAATTAAGGCAACTTTCAAACATATCGACGCCTGCATCCCCGAAAGTATTTACAGATGCCTGAAGTTTTGTTATTGGTGATGACATACTACATTGATTGCGAGGGAAAAAAGTAAGAGAACTCCCATTAAGACT